TAATAAAACAAATCTTCAGGGACGCCTGGGTGGCTCAGTTGGTTACACATCTGCCTTCGACTCAGGTCATGATCCCATGGTCCTGGGATCGAGTCCCACATCGGGCTCCTTGCTCAGCGGGGAGCTTGCTTCTCTCTCTGCCTGCCACTCCCCCCCGCTTGTCCTCTCCCATTCTCTCTGAGACAAATAAATAAAATTTTTTAAAAATCTTTTTTTATTTTATTTTTTATTATTATGTTAATCACCATACATTACATCATTAGTTTTTGATGTAGTGGTCCAAAATCTTAAAAAAATTAAAAAAAAAAAAAAGAATAAAACAAATCTTCAGGGGCTCCTGGGTGGCTCAGTCGGTTGAGCGTCGGACTCTTGATCTCAGCTCAGGTCTTGATCTCACGTCATGAGTTCAAGCCCCATGTTGATTTCCACACTGGGCACGTGGATCCTACTTTAAAAAATAAACAAACAAAAAATAAAACAAACCCTATTCTCCAGCTGATTTGCCTTTTCTCTACATTTAGCTGTGGAGATTCTCTTCTGCCAGCCTTCAGGTCATTTCCTGGGTTTTTTACACTGATGTGGGTGTTATCTAGATGTGATGAGGTGAGCCTAGGATCCTCCTACTCCACCATCTTCTCCAGAAGCCTGACCTAATTAATTTCTAAGGCCCCACACAACTGTAAGAGTCAATGGTTTGGGGGCACCTGGCTGTCAGTAGAGAGAGCGACTCTTGATCTCAGGGTCATGAGTTCAAGCCCCATGTTAGGCATAGAGGCTACCTAAAAAAAAAAAGTCAATGGCTTTATAAATAATCTTCTCTGCCCTTGAATGTTGGACCAGGCTGAAGGGTGCCTGGGGAGAGGAATCAGTCTTAGAGAAAGTCAGAGTTGAAACAAAAAATAGAGCATTTAGCAGTAACTGAAGCATGGCCCAAGATGGAATATTTCTCTTTAAGAAGGAAATAGAAAAATTGATTGGTCAGGTTGGATACTTGGTGACTGACTCATGAGGTATGAGGATGAGGGGACTCTATTTCTCAAACTGACCTTCATCCTAGAAGGGTTCGTTGGTATCATCAGACACAGACTGGGACTCTCAGGGGGTACACAGAACAATTCTGTCGAGTGGTGTGCCCTCTAGGGAAATCAGAGATAGGGATTCTACCATTTTAGTTTTCAAAGAGAAAGCAAAGCTTTTTACCTCAGAAGCTAATTTTCCTCATTCCATTTCTTCTCTCCCACCCTTCCCCTCCCCGCTTTTCCTTTGGGGTCTTCTTCCGACAGAGGAGTGTATCCTTCAAGCAAGCGAAATTGGGCCTGCCGGTGAACAGACCAAGATAGCCCTGTTCATCACCTCCTCCGTTATGCTGGTGCTTCTGCTTGGGGCAGCTGTGATTGCCTGGAGGAAATCGCGGGGCCGAGGCCAGCCGGTAGTGAAGGCCGGCTATGAGAAGCTGGCCAACCCTAGCAAGTCATACGTTTCCTATAAGAGCAGCCCCAGCTTGGAAGAGGATCAGGTGATTGAGTACAGGGACCAGGACTATGATGAGGATGATGGTGATGACATTGTCTACATGGGCCAAGATGGCACTGTTTACCGGAAATTTAAGTATGGGCTGCTGGATGAGGAGGAGGAGGATGAGCTGGAATACGATGATGAGAGTTACTCCTACCAGTAGACAAGAGGCCCCCCCCCGCCCCCCACCCTGCCCCATTCCACTCACAGGCATGCATTCGAGCGTTCCAGTTTTGGAGTTTTATCCCCACACATCAGGCTGATGTGTGGGTGTTTGTCTTTGTCCTCTTAACCATGAGTCCGACTAGGGTATGTAAGAATGCTGAAATAATTTGTTCTCCTTTTGAGTGGCTAAACTCAATTAACCATAACTGAGGAACAAGGATAAAATTCAGAGAGATTTCCCTCAAAATAATAAGTCAAAATACAGGAAGTGAAAAAAGTGAGATTTGTACATTTCATGAGATTAAAAAGTATTGGACCTATAGGAATTCTGTTTCTCAGCTGTCTTGCGGAGATATTTGCCGCCTTCTGGGACTCTGGTATTTCTGTAAATGATTTGGGGGTATGGGGAGACAAAAGAGTTGTTTGTCTCAGGGGATTTTTCTCCCTTGTCAGCCATCTTTAGGCAAAGGTAGTTCTGCTAGGGCCAGCTAAAGAGGGTTCTCCTCCTCATGCCCTTTATCACTCGCCTCCAGACTGCCCCCGCGGAGCAGAAGACAATACCTGTGCTAAGGGTGTTCTCAACCTACTGGGAGATGAGGAAAGAAAAGGGAGCCAGCATCAGAGCCAAGGAACCATGTGCTCCCTGGGCTCTGGTTCTTCTGCAGGAATCCACAGCCATCCTGTTCTAGGGACAAAGCAAGCTCAGGCAGGACATAGATAGCAGCAAGCCAGTAGGACAGAAATCATTACATTTCCAAGAATTGCAGCATTACACGCTCATGATTTTCCAAGAGCTTTTGTGGTGGGAAACAGCAGCTAAGACATTGAGTAATAAAAGAAAAATGGTAGTGTTAAAATGGGATAAAATGACAAGAACTGCATCTACTCTGAGGGAAAAAAACAAAAACGTTTTTAGCTACCAAACCAAAAAGATTTCATTGACAGCCTGTCACGGAGCTGAGAACTCCCTGTAGAAGAAGTTGGAGCGGATTCTAACGTGGAAAATCCCAACGTCCTGCTCGCGAGCGTAATCCAGTTGCCCACTAGCCTTCCAACACTCTCTACCGCTGTGATCCATTTCTAGACATCCTAGGCTCTCCTTGGTCCACTCTCCTGTCAAGTACAAGCTCGGATTTGGGCACAGGGCCATTTTCTACCAATAGTAATTGAGAGAGAGGAGCTTTTACCGTGTGAAATTGCGCAAGCAGGGTTTTGCAGATTTTCTTGTCCAAGCAGAAGCTAGAACCAGTACTGGGAGGGGATCACGAAAAAATGTATTTTCAGATGACAATGTTAAAGTGTCCTTAATTGGGTTTGAGATTTCCTAAAAGATTTGTCACACACCTCCTATGTGATTGGTATTGAGCTAACTAATTTGTTTAAGAAAAAAGTCACCTCGCTTAATATCATGATTTCATGAGGCTGGTACCGTTATACCCTGTTTTCATAGGAAACCTAAGACTTTTGAGAGGTTAAAAGAATGACCCTGAAGTGCAAATTCTTAACAGCTCTGCGATACTGGCATAAAATAAGAAGCAACCTAAATATAGTATAGAAGAGTGTATATTATTTTATTTCATGATATGGCAACTATATTACCTTTACTAAATTCACGCTTTTGCTTTGCTTTTAACATAACGTATCACAGACACAGGAAATCTCTGTGAAGAAGCCTTCCAAGTACTGAAGGCCTCCATGTTTCTTAGGGGAATGCTCTTAAAACAAAGGTTGGCAAACTTTCCTCTGGAAAGGGCCAGATAGTAAATACTTTAGGCTTTGCACAATGATCGGCTCTGTCATATGGCACTAATGCAGCCAATCCAGAACAAATAAGTGGGCTATGTTCCAATTAAACTTTATTTATGGGCACCGAAATTTGGATTTAAGGTAATTTTCACATATCATGAAATATTGTTCTTTTTCTTTTTTTCCTTCCAGCACCTAAAAATGTAAAGCCATTCTTAGCTCGGGGCAGTACACAATCAGGTAATGGGCCAAATTGGCCAACAGGCTGTAGTCTGCCGACCTCATCTTAAAAAAAATCCTTAAGAGCCCATGTGTATTTATACACACTTGATATGCTTCCAACAGTTTTGATCATTTAAAATCATCTCTTCCAAATCTATCTGAAGTTCTGATAGTGCCCTTTTCGATTCTTAGAAATTAAAAATGGATGTAGGATAGCCATCATATCAATGAGAGACTTCCTTATCCCTTGCCGTGGAATTACGGAGTGTAGCTTATGCAAGAGTAATTTTGTTCATTCTGTGTTGTTCTTCTTCCCTGATAATTCTGAAGCCCTGATAGACTGAGTTGGACATTTCTTTGCCTGGAAATGGTTTTCCAAGAAAAATCTGTGTTTATGATACACAGTTAAAGATTAAATGAGGTTGAGATGACCTTGAATACCAAGAAAAATTGTGTTATTACCTTGTGTGAGCCCGAAAAAAAAAGGCTTGTGCTGTGTGTTGGAACAGTTTGACATCTTTCCTTTTTTGTTCTTGGTCATGCCACGTTATCCTCAGACTTCTTTTGAATACTATGCTACCTACTGTCTAAACAGATAAATGTGTGGTTGGAAAACAACGTCCCTTTTTGGTTTTCTGTTTGCAAATAACTTGGAAATATTAAGAGGATCCTTATAGACTGGAAATGCACCAAGATGCTGAGCAAGGGCCTGGAAAGTTCCAGTTCAGAGAAAGCAATTTTAAAATTGGACACAAAATTAAATCAAGATCAGAGAAGGCAATGGGGACTGGCTTATTAACAGCCTATTTTTGAGCACATTGCATGTGTGGTATTATACTTTACCAAGTCAGAGACACAAAACTATGCTGTTTGTTAAGAGCGCTGTTTTTTCTTTTTATCTTTCTACCTCCAATGACTGGAGCTAGTCATAGTAGTTATGAAACTTCTTCCTAAAAATCAATCCAATCCGTCTGTCAGCCCCACCACCACTGACTCAGGTCCCCAGTCTCTCTCATCTGGACGTTTCCTGCTTCCACCTGAATTTTGCTGAACTTCAGTCTTTTTTTCTCCCAATTTACCGTCTATCCCTTTGTCAAAGATCCACCAGATCTTTGGTCCACCAGCCCACTGCATTCACGGCTCCCCACCATCCATGCTGACTTTGACATTCAAAACGTTGCAGGACAGAGCCACTGCCTCTATCAACCACCATTTCCTACCCCTCCTTATTTCCCAGATTTCCCGTTTGTCCTGAATTGCTTCTAAGCTCCCCAGGATAACATCCTGTTATCTCCTGTCCTTGTGCACACATTGTTCACTCTCCTTAGAATATTCTTTCCTCACGTTGGCCAATTGGAAACTTTCCAACCATCCTTTAAAATCATGTTCCCTTCTTACAACCTCTCCTGGGAGTTCTCCCCTGACCACCTTGAAGATGAATCACAATCTCACCTCTCTGCCACCTAGATGCTCTGTGCATACAGTTTTTCACATCACACCTGTATCTACTAAAAGAGGGGGCAGCTACTTGATTCCTTGAGGTGGCTACTATTTCCTTTGCAGAACCTGGCACAGTGCCCAGAACTTGGTAAGCAATCAAGAGCTCTTGGTGGAATGGAATTTTAGGAAGACAGGACTCACATATATGAAACAACTAGACAACAATAATGGTCCTGAGTGCAGTGTTAAGTGGGAAGGGGGAGGAGAGGTGGTGTCAGCTAAGCAGGAGGAGTACAAGATAACTGCAAATTAGAGCCTGTAGGGGGTGGTTTCATGGGGGAGATTTGTGCTTTGACTTGATTTGAGAAAGAGGATGTAGAAGGTATTCCGCAAAATACCCACTGGAGTTAATAAGTAGTTGGTCTGACTTTCATGATGATAGTAGTGATAATATTAACTTATCAAGTATGTAGTAAGAATTGCTAGTGGGGCCCCTGGATGGCTCAGTCTATTAAGCGTCTGCCTTCGCCTCAGGTCATGATCCCAGGGTCCTGAGATCGAGCCCCACATCTGCTCAGTGGGGAGTCTGCTTCTCCCTCTCCCTGTGCCTGCTGCTCCCCCTGCTTGTGCTCACTCTCTCTCTCTGTGTCAAATAAATAAAAAAATCTTAAAAAAAAAAAAAAAGAAAAAAAGAATTGACCATCTGCCCGGCATTGTTCTAGATACTGGGAAACACCAGCAAGTGGAACCAATCAGATCTTGGGTCTTAAAGAACTTGCGATCTAGTTGGGGAGAAAAAAAGTAAATCGTAACAATACAACTATCATTTTTGATGCCTTCTATGTGCCAGGCACGGTCATAGGCACTTTTTTCATTTGATCTTATTTAGTCTTTACAACACAAATGCTATAGAGCAGTTATGAAGTTTCTTCCTAAAATCAATCCAATCTCTGTTAGCCCCTACCTATGTCTACCTTGCATTGTTCTCAACACAGGCCAAAAAAAAAGGAGGCGGGGAGGAAGGCCAGAAAACAGTCATAAAGATCAAGAAAGGTAAGAGGGATGGCATCTGTTTTGTTTAGTTCTATTGTCTTAGTGACTAACACATCCAATGGTACAAAGGCAAATATTCATTGAGTAATTCCTGGTATAAAAATAATTGCTCATGTTTGTGCCTTCTGCGCTCAGAGTACACACCAGAACTAGGTCCTGTGGCCACACTCAACTGTAAGGAAGGCTTGAAAGCAAAAATGTGATCAAGAGTAATGAGATCGATTACCTTATTGGGTTTAGAAAACTCATGACTCATCCTCTGGGACTTTGCCATCCACAGTAAAAGTTTTCTGTTATCAAAGAAGAGAATAGTGCAGTGGAGCTGTTAGATAACCTAGTAAGAATGTCTCCGACTCTAACAAAGGAGTTCATTGATAAGAGCTGATCCCTGCTGCCAAGGGAAATGAGAGAAGCCTAATGAAACCATTCCATGGAACAAACATGTGTTTGTAAAGCAGAGAATTATAATGCAAGCGCAGAACAAGATGGAGGTCCCGAGGATTCCCATCTCTCTACGTTAGGGTGTGAAGTCTCCTCCCTGGCTAGGAGTGGGATTCTGTGCCTGATAGAAATTCTGCTGTATCCTTGAGGCGGCTGTTAGTTAAAAAATTACAGAAACGTCAACCCAAACTGGCTTCAAGACCAAAGGAATTTAGTGGGGCTCATTTAATCAAAAAGCCTAGGGTGGGATCGGGTACTGCTGGAAATGGAGCTCAAAGCATGGCCCCAGGTACTGGTTGATCTCAATTGTCCCTCTCTGTCTTTTGCTGTGTTGGCCACTTCTAACTGGAGACCTGCCCTCAAAGTGGCAGACATTGCATTCGCTTGGGTTCCACATCCAATAGGAAAAAGGCAC